CAAATTATTGCCCCGCCCCGGGCCACGGGTAACGCCAAATGCCACTTTTTCGGGCGCGCCGGAATTGGGTGCGGATAAATTTGGTCGCTTAATTTTCGCCAAATCAGGCGGAATAGCGTTACGTAGCCGCCCACGCTTAGAAATAATTTTTTAGGCGTTCTCACTGTTGACGCGGATTCGGGGCGCCGAGAAAATTGGTGGGTATCTGTAGGTTGAATTACTGGTTTGGCTACCCCCTGAGAATTGTCTAGGAGGTTTATTAAGGAGAGTGAGGGCGAGAGAGAGCGAGAGAGAGAGAGAGAGAGAGTGCGCGAGGAAGTGAAAGCGAAATATAGAGGAAGAGAGAGCGCGAAAGCAAGGACAGGAGAGAGAGAGAGAGAGAGAGAGAGAGAGAGAGAGAGCAGATATACATTTTTAGCTGAGATTATTACCACATCAAAAAATTTCCGAGAGTAGTTTCAGACTCAAAATTGGTTGGCCAGCCCCGGTCTGACCTCTGGGATTTTGGGTTAAACGCCTTATCTACTCTGAAATCTGCGGTGAGCCACAGCTCCATCTTCCTCCATCTGTCCCCCCACCCCGCCCCAATCTCCGACTATTCCCATTCGGCTATTTGTCACCCCCCAATCTCACCCCTGGCCCTCGAATTACCAATCCCGGCCCTATTTTCGGTCATTCATGCGGACAGCTTCACGCGTTAATGGTATTCAACCGGAACCGGGCCCGGAAACTCGACCGTATCTCAGTGCTCCAAAACTTTAATTTATTCTCGGGTTCCTGAAGCCCACAAAAGACCCTTTTTTTAAAAATCTGGCAATGACCAAAACCTCTCTGCTGCCTTCCCAAATTTCGCGCACTATAAATTGCCAAAGCGGAGATTTCCTGGCGACTGAAAGCACGGCACCCTGTCCATAACGCCACGAACCAGCATTTTGAAAGATAAAATGTTCCAGCTACTGCTTTTGGTGGTTGTTCTTCCCGCCGGTTATAATTCGGTATAGTCAGGTCGCTAATCCGGAAAAAACCTAGAATGCACGGAACGACGCCGACAAGACCACGATTCACGTCTTTCCGGTACTCCTGATGCCCGATGACTGTCAGGAAGCCAGCTGCTCAGCCATTCTGGGCACTCACATAGCATACTATCCGAAACAACAGAGATGCGGCTGTTTTCGAGAACCAAAAATCCTTCCTACTGGGTTCCGCTGCTTTGCCTCTTTCACCAATAGCACCTCGCACTGCTTTTCCAATCAAACCAGCTATACCCCCATGAGAATGCCGGACCTTCCAGTCGCTTGTGAAAAGCCTTGATCGGGTTTCTTTGGTAAAGTTGCTCCGAAATTTTGGGGATTAGTGGTTCTGCGGTGGATGTGTTCCGAAAAAAAACTGAAAAACTAAACGGAAACTAAACAAACTTTTGCTTAAGAGAGAGTCGCTTCGCAATATACCACATTCAAATGAATGGCCAAACATGCCACAAAATCCGCTCACTAGTCAACTTTCCCCAAAGACCATAGAGCAAGGCATTTTCAAAGCTAACTTTGTAATGCAGAAAAAGAAATCGCGGGCTGCATATTCGTCAAAACCTAGCGACGGCAGAGAGACAAATTGTTCTTACAGCTAAAAGCTAAGCTTCCTTTAAAAGCCCAGCATTTGAACAATTTTCACGGCAAATGTTACGGCTACTACGCCTACAAATTCTCACTATTCTCTCGGAGATCGTATTCAGGGCAGCGTTTTGCTATGATATTTTAGACGCCATTTCAGACGCCGACCGCCTTCCAACGGATGGGAATCTACTACCCACTACGCCACAGGCCCGCCAGTTGTGAACCAGAAAGCTGCGCGCCTCTTGGTGCCGACAAAATTGTCTATTTTTGTAGAAAGCGAAATCTGCCTTTGCTTCCAGAATAGCCGCCCCGTCAACAGTGCTGACGTTGGCCATTTTTTTTATTGGACGCCGACAATTTGTGCTTTCCCAAGCGCACCAGCTCGCTCCAGCAGTCGCAGTGAAGCTGCCGATTGGGACAATTTATTACTACAAGTGGTCACACTAGTTCAATAGTTTGCCTAGTCGCAATCAAGGCTCGGAAATATGTGGATACCGTAAAACGGACAATAAACGGATCAATTGATTTTCTGTTAATGCACTACCACACTTCCCGGCAGAAAAGATTTGGATAGGCACTCAGTTTTTCGGGTGTAAGGTGAAGCGCGCATCTTGGAGATCTCCTGGCGACTCAAACAGCCTTGCGCGCTTTCGAAAATTTTTTGGTGTTTTTATCCAAAAGGATGCTCTTGCTACCCCTTCTACGTTTTATTGCCGGTTCCATCTCATACCAAGGTATTATTTTATTTTATATGCATCATCGCTGGTTTAGTGCAACGAGATTGAGCCCGTAACACCTCCGAACTACCGGCTAAGCCCCGTCGAGGACTTGCCGACTGACTGTAGCGAAGAAAGCTGCCTCGAGAGGGGAGGAAAGTACATTGCTTACTATCCGCTCACCAGGAAATGCGCATGCTTTTGGAGCCCGGTGCCAGGCGAAAAATCGGCAATAATGAACAACGACATCACCAGTTGCATATGGGTGGGGACTCTTCGCCTGGGGTATACCCCGCTGTCACTTACGGTTGAAGAGACGTATTCGCGATGCAAATTTGTGGCCAAAGGGTAATAGAGCGCGTTTTTTTCCCACTTCTTTTTCTGGCAATAAAAAGTGGCTATGTATTTTACCGTAAATTAATTAAACAGAAATCAATAACACGCAAATAATTCCAAAAATAGCTACAACTTGCATTACCATGCAATACTGGTTTCGTCACGCACACCCGGTGCAGCAGCTTTTTTTAGGTTTAAAAGAGGAGGCGGAGGAGAGCGGCGAACAGTTGTTCGGCCAGCCAGTTTTCACATTTCTATGCAGTCGCTTTTTTCGGGGTAGTGGTTGGGAAAGATGGGCAAAAGAGAAGCCGTTAGAGTTTCATGCATTTTATACGACTACTATAGTCGTTCCGCTAGTTCCAAACTGGTTGAAAAGGTACGCAAAAAAATCTGCTTTATGACTGAAAAGTTTAGATTAAGAAACAGAAATCTTGAGCGACAAAAAATACGATGAAAAAATAAGATCCAGTCCAATTCTGGCCCCAAAATAAAATGACTTGGCCGCGGGCCAAACCTCACACCACTCGACGCAATTGGCACTCGAAAACCAAATAACCCGAGTAGGGGGGAGCAAGCGGGATACACAATCGAGTAGAGGCCGAACAAGAGCAAAAGAGTTAATCCCGTGGGGGTGAGGGCAAGAATGAAGGGTTACCCCCCGTCCCTTGTTTGCTACCGGGTGACCGCGTATGAAAAAAGAAAACAAAGCCGCAGGCCCACCCTCACCCTCGAAAAATTGGCCGCAGGCCAACCCCGCTGACTGGAAGGGCGAGTTGAATGGGAAATTAGGTAAGGGGGAACGGGTGAAGTAGCGGGAAGGTTTAAAAATGCAGAGAAAACATGGGGCCCTGTTCTTGGATGGCAAGACAAAACCTAAAAAAGCAGCAAGGATAGGATAGATTGTCCTAAAAATGAAGGAGAGGCGAGGAGGAGACAGCTATAGAGAAAGAGAAAGAAAGAGAGAGAGAGAAAGTGTGAGAGAGAGAGAGAGAGAGCGAGAGAGAGTGTGAGAGAGCAAGAGTGAGAGAGAAGGAAAGAGAGAGACAGAGACAGAGAGGGAGATGAAATGATGGCCAGACGCGATAGTAATTGAATCCCTACAAAATTTCTACAGAAATCACAGTCGAGTTAAGATATTATTAACAAAAACTGGTGTTTCTGAAATATGTATACAGTAAGCAAATATATTAAAAAACAAGCAAGTACTGTAACTGCCAAAAACCCGAATTTTCAAAAATGACGTCTCTAGCCTGGGGTGCTTTGTAGTTCTCTGGTAGCGGTCATTGTCCTCTCCCCAGGCCAGAGGTCCAGATGGTTGCCGGCGGATCATCCAGGATTTTGCGGTCGCGTAGAGATGATGAGACCTTCATAGGTCATAGATCGATATCTGCCACCTCGGCCAGCTTTCGTTCGTTCATAAGGGTCGGCCGCGCATATCCCCCTACCAAGCGCGGCATATTACAATGAACGGCCCGGGCTCTCGACTTGCTGGGGAGGATCGACTGACTGGTTTGGCATTGTGAGGTCAACCAGAAGAGGGGCCAGATATGGACACCGCTGGAGGGACAAATACTTTGGGGCAGGGCACAAAGTCGCCGATCCTTGGGGTATAATGAGGGTGAGGGCAAATAAGGGGGATTTGAACTTTTTGAATGCAAACTATAGACAAAATTACTACAAAGTGATACTCCTCAAAAAAGGGAGGAGGGAAAAAGCGAGATAAAAATGAAGGAGAGGCGAGGGAGAGACAGCGAGAGAGAAAGAGAAAGATAGAGAGAGAGAGAGAGAGAGAGAGAGAGAGAGAGAGAGAGAGCGAGAGAGAGACTATGAGAGTACGAGTGGATGAGAACTCTGGATTTTGAATTTGTAACGCAAGTTTTAGACGTTTGAGTTTTTTTGTTATGTTTCGGCTATGTTTGTAAGCGTTTGAGCCGAAGCCCAAGCCTTCGCTGAAGCTAAAACTCAAGCAGAAGCCTTAGCCGAAGCCAAATCCTGAGCCAAAGCCAAAGCCGAAGCTTACGCCTGCGCCTAAGCTTAAGCTTAAACTCAGGCCCAAGCCCACGCCTAAGCCTAAGCCAGGCCTGGTCACCGGCCTCTTTAATTTGCATACGGAACTTTGATCGGACCGGCCTATTTCATAATCAAAGAACCTGGAATTGTTTGTCTGACCTCCCCCCCCCTCCTTCACCTCACCTCCAAATATGACGCGACAGAATCAGAAAGCAGCAATCGATCAAGGTTGATCTTGATTGCGCCCCCAGGGCATAAAAGGCTGCACCATCAACAACACCACAGACCCCCTTCCACTCGTCTAGCCATTCCCATTCCCAACTTTGCGATGCGATTGCTGCTAACTTTTCTATTCTGCGCCCTGGGAGCTGAGGGCAACCCGTATTTCCATAATAACTTCTTCCCGATTGATGAGAAGATCGAGCCGCCATGTCGTGCGGGTTTTAGGAATATTGGAGGATCGTGTTATCGGGTAAGTCGAGGATAGGCAAGATTCTTAGGAAAGTGTGGTCAAAAATTTTTAGCGAATTTAGAGGTGATTTGCGGCAAGCTAGTAGCGATTATTTGTAGAAACAAGTAGAAGGCAAGTGTCTTTTTTTCAGGGAAGTATAATCTACAGTTTCAGCACCAATCAGTCAGATTCAGTGTAAAAAAGATTCAGGCAAGCTAGCAGAGGTTTTTGTGGAAAATAGTAGAAGCCTAGTCTAAATTTAATCTAGTCGCTATCTCAGGTTAGAAGTGAAGGGCAAGCTAGCAGAGGTTCTTAGCGGAAATGTTAAATGTCTAAGTATATTTTTTTGTACGACTAGCGCATACGTAGGGGAAAGATAGAAGATCCTTAAAGGAAAGAAGCCAAAAATCAAGGGGAAATTCCGTCTTTCAGATCGTAATCGTTGGAGGTGACCACGAGCAAGCTCGCACCATCTGCCGAGCCATCGGAGCCGACATCGACTTGGCCACCATCCGATGCCCTGAGGAAAATGAAGGAATTTATAGTAACCCTGTCTACCAAAACCCTAATATTTTAATCTCAGAAATGACAAAAGAACAATGGATCGCCGACGCCTTCGATGAGGTCAAACGCGAGAACAAGCTGTGGGACGGGTATTCTTGGGTAAGCTGAAAAATATTCTTCCTGATACAAGAAATCCTAGAATATGTGGATCGGGCTTCACGGTTCTGACGCGAAGGTTCGACCCGATCCTAGCCAGTGGTAGGTGATCAACCGGTCACATGAATTCGATGATCAGGTACGTCGACCGGGACATGAAGCACTACTACCGGAATTGGGCCTCGAAGCAACCGGACAACTACTGGGGGACCAAGCGGGAAGCTTGTGCTTATGTAAGTTTTTATGGAGAGAGGGCGAGAGAGAGAAAGGGAAAGAAAGAGAGAGAGAGAGAGAGAGAGAGAGAGAGATAAGGAAGCACAGATATCTATCTTGTTTCAGATGTACATCCGCGAATCGTTCATCAATCACGCAGCCAACCCCTGGGACCCGGCCACGTGGAACGACTGGGAGTGCAGCAAGACCATGTTCGCCGCCGTCTGCGAGCAGAGCGTGGTAGGTTTAAAGGGATAGTGATACACAGCTAGACGTCGGAGAAAGCAAAAAGAGCCGGCCAATTTGAGATATGCAGTATTTCAGTAGTATGACGAGTAATACGTTAGATACCTTATACAAGTCTATCTCGGCAAAAAACCCTTTTCAGATGACCTCCGGCCAGGGTTGCATCAAATCGAAGCTGGCGTTGCAGTAAGCTGATTCTCCGTTTTCTCAACAAGGATCTGAACGAAACATTTTTCGTTGTCATATTTATTTATTGAATTTTAATAAACTTTTGTTTTACAGCTTAGCATCCACGTAAAAAAGAGCATTATTTGCCCTTGTTACCGCAGATATATTCAGTCATCACGATGTCCACAGCCGCGAGAGCCCATTGACCGTATTCCTCCTCGTCGCAACGGTATGGCCTCAGCTAAAAAGGATTGAAGCTAAAAGAGAGAGAGAGAGAGAGTGAGAGAGAGAGAGAGAGAGAAAGGGAGAAATACAGGGAAAGAGAGTGCGAGAGCGAGCGAGAGAGATAGATGGAGAGAGAGGGACAAATTTTTTGATAACGAACCACGAGCGATTTGCGTAGGTCATTCGAAAAATTGGAATTGACAAAATTCTGGAAATCCAAGCGGCTGTTGTCTGCCCATCTGGTCAGCGTCATCATCCCTAGGACTCGGTTCTCTGGTATTCTCTGGTATTACCACCGGAAGTCAGATTTCCCTTGCCGCCCAGCCACGCTGTGCCTACCTTCCACGTCGTGATAGGATTTTTAGAGCAGTTGTTCGAATAGATCATCTCTAGAAAAATTCGGGCTTTTCTGCCAATATTCATGCCGTACCCGTTGCCTACAAACCCCAGATTCATCAGTAAACCTACGAGTCAAGAATTCGTTTTCTGCAAGGCTATGTATTGCGGCCAGGTTGCCTCCCAGTTTTTCACATTCCGCTTCCGCTTTTTCCCAAGTCAAACCCGATGGATTGGAGAATTCCTAAAAGCCAGAAATAGGTAGGTATTCGAGGTAATACAACAAAGCCGAAAACTCAAAAAAATCGGATCAAACTTTATATTTTTATCAACCTGGTAGCAACTTCCATTAAACGACGTCCACCCAAGATTGCAAGTCGTTGCTAAATAATATTAGAAAATTGAGTTTATTAGGGTAATTTAAGAATGATTTACCAATTAGTGGTTGATACGTAGCAAGCTGTGTAGCGCAGCATGCAGCCGGCTCCTCGAGCGTGAGTTCAAACTCCGGCGTCTCGTCCCCATAGCAGAACGTGCAGTTGCCGTATCCAGCAGTAACTAATTGTAAGTAATCGTTTGTGAGAGTATCTTTTTTGCCCACAGTAGCTACTGTAGTTGAAGCCGGTGCATTTGTAGTCTGTATTCAGAGCCAATGCTACACATCCCTGGTAGCAATCAACAAATTTGGGATCGGTAGCGTCATAGATCAATTCCGTGTTTTTGATGAAATAAATTGGGCTCGGAGCGCTAGATGCTAGGATGAAGGAAAGGAGCATGAGTATAGACATTTTCGGGTGTTGGATGCAAAGCAAGATTGCGCAAACCACTGGTGGTTCAAGATCCAACCAACCTTTAATCGGCACCATGGGTACGCCGCCATGGGTACCGACGGGTATGGGGGCCATTGACGAGTTTCGGGGTTTTTTTGTGGATTTTGATCGTGGGAAGGTCGTAGAACCGGAAAGCGATGTGTGTCTAGGACGAGTTCAAATTTTTGCCGCTGATCTGAATTTTCACAAAGCTTTAAAAAACAATCCAACATGAATAAGTTTTCGCTTGCACTTATCAAATGTTTGAGAGTACAAAAAAATATTTTTTAAAAAATGGAAAAATTCTTAGGACTAATCTTAGACATCTAAGACACGTCACCTAACTTTAAAATAATTAAATAACTATAGAATCAATTCAGAAAGACTTCTTCCGTCGAGTGTGCTATCGTTGCCGGGTCCCGTATGGCTCCTACAGTTCGGCTCTCACCAATTTCTCCGCTGAATCGCTGAACTTTAGGAGAACCATCATAAATCTTTGTTTCCTATACAATTTACACAAACGTGCTTGCAATATTTCCCCTCAAAACTTTTTCGAATGTGTTCCATCCCGAACTCGTGGTCTGCTGGTTAAGCTCAAGCCGATTCTCGGTCAAAAAACCTCTGTACAAAAGTCGTTCTTTTCATTGCGGGTATGTGCTCTTTGGAATTCTTTGCCTCGATCTGCTTTCGATAGTTCTTCAACTAAGATATTTAAAAAGCTTATACTTATACACGTTATATATCCCATTCTACACCATGGACCGCACGATGAAAACTCCGAGACACTCCGGAATACGGTCGATTTCATTCGTTTGATCTGAATTGAAACGATTTGTTACGTATATTAGTTTTGGCGTTGCAGGTATGTCGACATACAAAATTCTGACGTGCTAGGTATGATACGTGTTTTGGTGCGTGGTTAGGAGCGTTTCGCACGTGCAGGTTCGCTTTCTATTTCCCGCCGAAGTAGTGAACATCTCGAGGTAGCCGAGCAACCCAAGAGACCACGTACACCAAAAAGTAGATCATTTTTCACACGGAGCCCTTGGTTGTCCTAGTACCAGGGCATCTGGCCCGATGAAAAAGGTGAATCCGTTTTTTTCAACTTGGCTGTTCTACAGTATCCCCGAAGTATGCCCTGGATTCTAGTCTTAATTCTCGCCTGCTGCGCTCAGCAATCAGTATATTTCATTTAAACCGTAACGCTTGATCGATCCCAAGTCTATAGAGGGCTATCAGGGTTGTGTGATCTTGAGTATGGCCACAGACTATAAATGCATTGGGTTTGAATACAGTAGCTACGGTAGGCCAAGTCAAGCCTCTAAATGGTTTCTAAGTTACGGCCGGATATGGGAACTGTCAGTTTTGCTCTGAAGGTGATGTCGCTGAGTTTCAACTAACGTTCGATGAGCCGGCAGCGGGGAACCCAAAGGAAATCGCCAAGTTCGAGCCGCCGACTGGCAATTTTTAGCCTTTAAAGTGCTCGATTTTCGAAAACGTTTCTTACCCGCGAAAGCATCTTGTGATGAGAGATAAACGTCATTCAACGGGAGATGCTACCTAGTAAGGCTTGTCTTCTCCAAAATTTCTCTTGTGGGTCGAAAACTCGACTGAATATGGCGTGGATTGGGTGTCAGCGGGTCTGGTGTGCCAGGCCAAGGCAGCGGTTCTTGCTCCCGTACACAGCATCCTAGAGAATGAATTCCTTACCAGTACGTGGGTTAAATAGATTACAGTAGAAAAACACATGAAAAGCGGTTTCGGTTAGGCATTGGCATCACGATATCATCAGAAATACACGCATGTAGGCTTGACCGCTAATTGTAAGAGGTGATTTTCGCATCCCAGGGCTTGTCTGGGAGCCGGATGCCCACCGGCAATATCTTCCAGGCCGGCCAGCCGCTTCCAGCTGGATCGGAGGAAGAGGAGACCCAGCCCTTGAAAGGTGGACGACACGATACCCTCACTTTCAAGCTGCTTTCAGTTCTAAACGTGGCCAACTGGAGGGACGGCAGCCCGGTCGATTTCACGAATTTTTGGGAACACCAACCTTCAGCCGAACACTAGTTGACTTTTCGTGGGTTCAATTTTGCACTTTTGGCTGACTGGCTGGCTTAGCCCTGAACCTAGGCTGCATCATACATGGGAAATGCCATCCAAATAATATCGTATGAAATAAAAAGAAACTATTTTAATTTTAGCTCAAGCCCTACAACTGTCCTGAAGCTCCGGTGGGCGTCTGGGGCTTGGGAAAGGCTGCTAGAATGCCCTTGAACCAGTATATCTGCATCAAAAATGCTTGAAGACCAATCGAAACCGGTTTATCTTTCTTTTGTATCGCAGTTACCAAATAAAAGAGTTTCCGCATTTTAAGTTATTTTATCGGCGCTAGAGGGTGAGCGTGGGTCACAGACTTTGCAAAAAAACTTTTCAAGCCTAGTTCTGGGATCAACAAAGCGTTTTCTTAGCCTTCTTTACTTTTCATGACTGTTGCCTTTGAAGATCAACAGCGTTTAATGAGTTGTGTTTCTAGGCGACAGAGTCAAGCAAGGCAACATGCCATAACTTACGGCGAAATTTTGTTCGCCGAACCAGCGCCTCACCACCATGGACACAAAAAGTCCCGATTCTCCAAAATTTTCAGCCGACTTTTGTTTGGCTCATACTATGCTTCAACTATTTAGCTTGCACTACCTTATGCCCGCCCTAACCTCCGCCGTGATCGTTTCTTTTCGGCAAACCTATCCATTTTCCTATAATCCAAGTGATGCCGAATTTGTGGCATGCTATCAGGGGTGCCTGAATCTGGCATTGTATACGAGCTATATCTGCACCGGATTCAGTTATACTACCTTTTGTAAGCAGTATTAAATATTATTGATAACGCGGTCCTAGTCTCTGCTGGATTCGGGAATTGCTCCTTTGTCTTCGACAACCAGGTCGCCGATTTTCAAATGGCCACCGATGTCTCGGCAGAGGAAGTGGGGATGTGTACTTCCGGAGTTTATGCAGGGCTTAAAGGTATAGAGAGGGAAGAAGTGAGAGAGAGAGCGTGCGAGAGAGAGTGAGAGCCTGTACAAATTTTTAGCCACAACCTGCGGAAGTCTCGGAGGCATTCAATGGACCCCATATGATGGCAACTGTTTCAGCGTAACTACCCTAAAATCTAGACCCATTTTGTTTAGGTATTCAAAAGTAGTGGTATTACCTGGCCGGATGCGGAAAGCTCCTGCCAAAGCTACGGTGCCCACCTCGCCTCTATCCATAGCGCCGCGCAGAACGAGTTTTTGTGCAGTGAGTTTCGCGTTAGACTTGGGCTTAGGCTTAGTCTAGGCTCTTAAGCTCAGGCCTGGGTTTTATAGATTAGGCCAAGCATAGGTTCGCTATGTTTTCAGAGCTGGCTTGGTACCCGGAATGCGCGAGTACCGCCTTCGAAGGCTGGAAAAATGGAACGGCCTGGATTGGAGGGCAGAGCAGTACAGACAACAGTGCGGTTTTCGTTCGATCCCCCCCCTCTCTCCTCCTCTCTCTCTCTCTCTCTCTCTCTCTCTCTCTCTGTCTCTCTCTCTCTCTCTCGCTCTCGCTTTCTAGTAACCTCTAAATCAAATAATAATACCGCTACCTTTAGCTGTAAGAATAGACGGCTGGACCGATGGGAGCCCCGTCGACTTTACGAATTTTGCGACCGGCTCCAAAACAAACCCTTATCTGGTGGTGGGTTCTAACATTATTCGAAATTGAGCCATTGCCATCAGCTCCGAGTTCCGTAACTTTCCATTTAGTTTAAACCCTATAAATGCGGTGGGAAGTCCACGTACGGTGCGTGGGCGTTGAGTTTGCCTGGAGCCCAATGCATCCAATATGTGTGCAGTCGCCCCGGGACCGTTGCTTGAGGCATCGTTTGCTGAGCTCTGCGCCTAGTGCAACTTAATAAATTTTTTGTTGGGTTCAAAAACATTAAGCCCGACTTCGCACGTCATTTAAATCACACCGAGCGCAGAGTCCGTGTTCCCGAAGCAAGCACATTGCGAAGCGGTGCTGCACCCGATAGAAGGGTGCCGACTACCGCATACAAAATTGGCACTTTTACTTTAAATTTTTAACTTTGAGCGTTTTAAAGGAGCTCATACAGCAGCTCAGTTTTCCCACGAATCGTGGAAAAATTTGCATGCGAGACGTCTGTGTGTCGCATCAGGGCGTGCTCTCTAACCCGAAATGCATGCAAATTTTTCCATAGGATTCATGAAAAATAGCAGCTGCTGCCCGAGCCCCTTTAAACATGCAGCGTAAAATTGAATTTTTTTGTTATGCTTACCAAATTTCAAAACGCAAAACGCGAGCCACCTTTTTCGCAGAGTAACGCAAATGCGCGGCATCAAAAGTAATATCCATCACCGTGTCGTGGCCCTAGGTAACGCTTCGATGAAGAATTCTGAAAGTTTTACCCGCTCTATTCAATTCTGATGCTTTGGCTACTCTATTTTATCCACTTTACTTCAACCCAAAATTCTATCACCTTTACACCGAAATCCAAAGTTCCCTACAACCCAAAAGATCCATTCTTCCAAAATTGCTGTGTTGGCTGCGTCGCCCTGGCGTTGACTACAGACTACAACTGCACCGGATTCAACTACAGCGCTTATCGTAGGACATGGAGTAGACATACTGACTCTCGTTTAGATAGTCAAGGGTACGGGAAGTGCAAATTTATTTACAACACTGATCAAGCCGACTTTTGGCTGTCCGGTTACAAAAAGCCGGATGTATCTGAGGGAGGGTACTTTACCATGCAATACAATCCGCCAAAAGGTCAATAGCTCAGCACGACAAATTACCGCAACTTAATTCTGTCTTTAGTAAAGGGCTGTGGCACCGGCCGGAAGCTGTGGAAAATGTTCAACGGCAGCTGCTTCCAAGTTTTTCTGAAATTGTCTTTGTAGCCTGAATCTCGCAGGTGGTCAACGGGACCAAAACTCCACGGATTTGGAGCGAGGCGAATAACTTTTGCAAGGAGGAAAACGCAACACTGGCGTCGATACACAGTCCCGCGGAAAATGAATTTCTTCTTTGTGTGTTTTCAAGGGTTCTCACTCACTCTCTTACTCTTTCTCTCTCACTATCTCACGATCTCACTAGCTCTCCCTTCCTCTCTCTCTATCTCTTTTCCTTTTCTTGCACACTCTCTCGCATTAATATATCCCACCATCTTTGCTATTTCCAGCTCACATCGGCAATCCGCGAAAAGACTGTTTCAGGGCTTGCCGAGTGCACCTCGTGCATAGAGACTACAGCCGGCTGGCCTGGTGGGGCCGCTTGGATCGGCGGGAGAGCACAAACTAGTGCATCGCGTAGGCGTAGACTTTTTAGGCTTTTTTAGGGTCAGGCTCAGGCCCAGGCTCGGAGCTTAAGCTTAGACTTGGACCAAAGCTTAAACTAAGATTAGGTTCAGTAATGCCTTAGGTGGAAACTCAGGCTCAGGCTCGGGCTTAGGCTTTGCGTGGCTCGGCCAGATCACGTTCTGGAAGCCCTGATTTAGGTCCCACCCTAAGTTCTTGGACCGATGGCAGCAATCTAGACATGGTCAACTTCGATCCCCATGCCAACGCCACAAAGCCATACGTTTTGGTGATTTTGTATTTCCGGAATTCCAATGAAGCCGGTTTTTTTAGTTGAAGCCCAACAATGGCAATCAGGCCATCCCCGGAAGATGGGCACTTGCGGCATCCGATATCAAATTAAACCAATGGATTTGCCGCGCAGGCGCTAAATAACTCGCTTTTTCTGAAATTATGTAACCTGCTTATTAAATGTGATAGTGATATTTGGCACGCAGTATTTAATAAACCCATAAAGCCAACGTCTGGAACCAAATTTTACGTTGAAAATTTGGGTCCATCGGACCATGACTCGGATCCATGGCTACAAAAACAACTAGGAGCACTCAGGAATTTCGGGAGCGAGTCTGGATTCGAATTAGCCATGCTGCTACTCTTTACTTCATTCAGTTTAATTCAAGTTTTAACGTCAAATATATTGGTCTCCTTCTCGCAAACATATGCATTTTCCTATGACCTGAACGACCCTGAATTTATGGCATGCTATCAAGGATGTCTGTCCCTGGCTTTGAATACGCAGTATATCTGCACTGGTTTTAATTACACTAAATTTTGTAAGTACCTGAAAAATGAATAAAGCCTTTTTTTAGTCTCTTTGGGATTCGGGAATTGTTCCTTTATTTATGACAAACAAGCGGCCGATTTTCAAATGAGAATTAATGTATCGGCTAATGAAGTGCAGACATGCTCACCTGGAGTTTATACCCCACTGAAAGGTAGTTAGGGTGGAGGGATAGTGAGAGAGAGAGAGAGAGAGAGAGAGTGAGTGAGGGAATGCAAGAGAGCGAGAGAGCGAGAGAGAAACAGATAACAATTCAGCCACAACTTGTGCGAGTTCCGACGATATAAAGTGGACTCCCTTGGATGGCAACTGCTTTAGTGTATGTTCCTCAAAAACAATAACGCTTTTCTCTAGGTATTCAACAGCAGCGGTATCACCTGGGCAAATGCTGAAATTAGCTGCGAAACTTATGGCGCGACCTTAGCTCCGATACACAGCACTATGGAGAACGAGTTTTTGAGCAGTAAGTTGAATAGATTACTAACTACCAGCCTTCTTCTAAAAGCCTAATCATTTTCAGAGTTAGCATGGTATCCCGAGTGCACAAAGACTCTGATGTCAGGTTGGAAGCTGGGGACGACGTGGATAGGAGGGATGAGTACTTCCAATACCAGTGAGTTTTTTCGCTCATGAAGGGTATCGTTTGGATGCATTCATAAAATGCAGCTAATCCCAACCTGTTTTACCCTATAGCTGTGACTCTCGACAGCTGGGTTGACAGCAGTGCCGTTGATTATACAAATTTTGCCGACTTCGCTCTGCCGAACCGCTATCTGCTGGTAGGTTTTTCAGCGTAAATTTTTAGCATGATGCCTTGTTTCATAAATGGTTGATGTTTTTCTCGATATTCGATTTAGGGCTTAAGTGCAGTTTACCCCCCAGCCCAGCTCCTCAGCCATACGTCCTATTAATGCGCCGAGTCTCTCAAAATGTTCGCCGTGGCCTAAAACCTCTAAAAAAGTTGTTGTTATTGTTAAATTAAAATTAAGCTAAAAATTGTTAGAAAATTTTTTACAAGATTTTGAAAGTTGAAAAGATTAAGCTGCTATGCTTCGATGTACCAGAAGTCAAAAACTCAAATATTTCTATTTTCCGCTATTTTTTTGATTCAAACGTACTGTAGGCTTATTCTACAAAGCAATAGCTACAATTTGGTACCATTGACAGCTCTGTACGTCAAAAGATAGCCGAGATACGGAAACTCACTTTGGAACAGCAAAAATTAACTAAAGAAAACCCAGACTTATAATTCTTATAAAAATTTTTTTAACAATTTTTGGCGCAAGTAAACAACTTTTTCAGAGGTTTTCGACCACGGCGAACATTTTGAGATACTCGGCGCATTAATAGGACGTATGGCTGAGGAGCTGGGCTGGGGGTAAACTGCTCTCCGATTTAGTTCAAACCATATGTATGCAGCGGGAAGCCGGTATACGGTGCTTGGGCACTCGGTGCCGCGAATGTCAAGTGCATCCAGTACGTGTGCAGCCGGGCTGGGACCATCAACGGATGATAGTGGACGAAAAGTACAAAAAACACACATAATTGCTTATTTGCTTATAATTATAAATCTTTGATTTTGACATGCTCATTAAAATTGTAGATACCCGGATACACAAAAAAACCGCAATTTACGCCAGATCCGCTTGCTTGCCTTTAACTCGCGTACCATTCAAAGCTTGTGGTTTGTAGTTTCATTGTCGATAAAGAATCACACCAACTCGGAATTCACAACACATCCCAATGCAACCGAGCAACCCAAAATACTGGCAAAAAAAAATTAGGTAGCCCTTGGTGACGCCCGGGTAAGGCGTCAGCCCCAAGAACTCCACAACCGAGGTTTCACCTCGTCGATTTGAATATCATGTTCTGCTTTCTATATTTTATTTCGTGCGCTTGGACTATATCGTTCTGCCAAGATTCTGTCACTTTTACTCAAAACACCCAATTAACCTATGACATAAACGATCAATTCTTCCGCGAGTGCTGTATTGGTTGCGCGGCATTGGCGCTGAATACAGCCTATAACTGTACCGGATTTAACTTTGACAGCTATCGTAAGGATTTTATTAGAGCAAGTTAAGTTTGTTTAGACAGCCATGGCTACGGTAATTGCCGCTTTGTATATGGAAGTAATGCCGCCGACTTTGTTCTCACCGCTTTCGCAAAACCAGATGTCCCTGATAGTTGGTACAAAATTATGCAATACGCTCCAGCAACGGGTCGGTTTTTAAAAACGTTTGATCTTACTGCGCCGCCAGATCATCCTGGCTAATTTAAATTTTGAGTTAACCATTGAGTTATACTTCGTTAACCTAAAGAATTAGCCGTCACACAAAAGCTTCAGCGCCCACTCCACATCATCTGTTTTTAGCGACAAACTGCACGAACAGCGGCCCACTCTGGAAATCGTTCAATGGCAGCTGCTTCAAAGTAAGGTCATTCCTTTACTTTCAATTATTTTTCAGGTCTTCAACTTTCCAACCGAAGGGCGCAGGCGGAGCATTGCTAATTCGGCGTGCGTGGGGACCGGTGCCACACTCACCTCCATACGCAGTGCAGCGGAGAATGAGTTTATTAGTCGTAAGTTTTTATATTTTTCCTTTTTTCCACACGGGTGCTGATTTCGTTATAATTTCAGGGTTAGCCGAGCCGTCGAATTGCAGCACGACGAATTTTGGCTGGCCGATCGGTTCGGCCTGGATCGGTGGGCTGAGCAACACGCAGGCTTCAGGTAGAATATCTTCATTTTCCTCCTTTTCACCAGTCACCACTAAATTCACTCACAAAGAGACGTATTTGATTGTCGTCCAGACTTCCGGATGCGACCAAACCTATCTGGTGCAGAATTTTGCGCTGGTTTCGCATATCGCTATCGTTTTTGCGGAAAACCATTTCGCGAAATTCAGAAACGTTTTTAGACCCCGAAATACCCCACAAATCGGCTAAGATGGAGATAAAACACATTTATGGCTTCGAAAAGGTTTTAAAAAGGCCAGCCAATGTATCTTGTTCAGAAAATGAAAAATAAAGGAAATTGCTTATTGCATCGAGAATTTTTCTGAATAAGATTCACTAGCCGCGGTTTTTTTCTAAAACCTATTCCAGAAGTGGCCGATTTGTCGCTTTACTTAACTTAACTCACCGATAACATTCGAGAATTGGCTTTTCCGCAAAAACGTAACCACATTCGGAATGAGCACAAAATTCAAGGTAGGCTTGATCATATCCCAAAGTCCGGACGACACCCACAAACGTCTCCTTGTCAATTCAGTCCCGACCCTGGCGAGCTGGACGGACGGGAGTGGCGTCGATTTTTCCAACCTTGCCAACGGGTCCATCGTCGACAATCGCTTTGCATTGGTTCGTTTTACGTTCATAGCGTCGAAAAGTTCGAAAATTACTCTATGATGGGTACAAAACCATTCAACATTTCAGTTGAAGCCGTATGGCTGCGGCGCCATGGCCCCCGGATTCTGGGGTCTCTCCGACGCTAATCAACGGTTGGGGCAATTTATTTGCCGCACAAAAGCTGATTAACGACAAGAGCTAAAGAAAACGCACAAATGGCACTTTTATTCTTGTTGCAAAAACCTTTGGATTGATAAATACACCGGATCATAAATTTTGCCTGTGAAAAGTGTACGAATTTGGGGATAAACTACTCAAAAGGAAGCTTTAAAGTGCTCGTCCCTGAAACAAATGACAGACGCTGCAAAATCTCCTTTGCCTAATCCATCCCTGTTCGATCAGATTTCCGTTTTTTGTTGATTTCGGTCGACTGCCAGATCCATTTACGATTTTGGATCTTTGGCTGGGCCGCTCCGAAATTTCTTGCGCCTCCAGACAGATCATAGCAACAAGTCGTCAAAACTTTGATGTACCCATGACAGCCAAGGTGCCAAAGTGTCAAACCACAGGAAAACTAGAATACGATCCAGCTATCGATGTACATCTCGATGCTGCATCTCATCTACCTCTTTCCTTTCATTCTTCAGCACGTCTCCACACAAACACCCGTCTACTACGCCCAGACCAGACCGTTTGCATATAACCCAAACGATCAGAACTTTATCGGCTGTTATGAGGGATGTTTTGTCTTGGCTCGGACGTCAGCATATGTGTGCACAGGCTTCAACTTCAGTAAAACCTGTAAGGGCGCTGTGTTCAAGATGTTCCAACAGGCTTACAGTCTCTTCCGGATATGGTAAATGTCAATTCATCTATGGTGACGCGCCATCCGATTTTCAATTAACTCCACCGGCACCGCTAAAGCCAGGAGCTTTAGTGTCCGTTCCACAGCACTGCCATGCTGTTCGCAACATTTCAGCATTACTTCGTATTTGACCTTTGTAAATCTTGGTACATTTCGATTTCAGGAAAGACCTGTGCGAGCAGCCCGAACCACGCTTGGACCTATTTCAATGGAACGTGCTATAGGGTGAGAAATATTCGGTTTTGAAAAGCTTGAAAGCTATAGCGCGGCCTCGCCCCCGATCAAGTTAATGGAATACTGTGGCAAGATGCGCTGACCGATTGCCAGCAAGTCAACACCGGGAGTCTTGCGTCGATTCACAGTATTGCGGAAAATGAGTTTCTGAATCGTAAGTGCATTGGATTTTGTTCTACAGAAGCAGATGAACATCATCGTGCTTTCCCAGCTCCTGAGCTCACAAGGCCTTTAAAAAAAAAATACAGTTAGTTCAGGGTACTCGCTATCTCGCTCTAACTGTACTCTGTACTCTCTGCCCCCTACTCTATTGCAAGCTAGTAAAACCTTTTGTCAGAGATGGCCTGGATACAGAATTGCTCTGGAGTGCTGAGCACTTTTCAACGCGGCTCGGCTTGGATTGGAGGGGTGGCTGAGAATTGCACAGAAAGTAACGCATTGTCTAAGACACCGAAATAATCAAACTATCATTTCGATCAAACCCTGAAGGCCTGGACCGATAACAGCTCGTTGGATTTTGCCAACTTTAAGCTGGGTGGTTTTGCCAGCAACATGTACGCCCTGGCGAGTTCTTTGGTATTGTAATTTCGCTAAGGTGTCGTGCCCTTAAAATCACAGATTTAGATAAAACCCTACGACTGCAAAGATATGGGCAACTACGGTCAGTGGGTGCTTGCACTACCGAACCAATATTGCACCCAGTATATTTGCAGCCGCGCGTATCCGCTCAGCAGCACGCAGCTGATCGGGGACGATGATTGATCGTTTCGTTATGCCTCTATTTTTTGTGATATGGGTTGATATACAATTGCATGAATTAGCCAAAGTGTTTTGTAATTTATGCGATTTCAATAAGAGTTCCGGTCAAAAGTGTTTATTCGAGTCGTAGAAATAAGGTTGTTTGATCCTTCTTTGTGCAGTTACGGCCTGAGTTGCGAGAGACGCTCATTTTCCGGGGCAGGGGCAGCTGAAAAACCTTGGGTTCTTTGGAGCTCTAACTTAGAAATAGGTACAAATGCCTTAAAAACTATTATTATATAGGTCTGTTAAAAGGCATAAAACCACAAAATAAAAACAAAACATACGTCGAGCATCCGCAGCTTCCCTGCGATCCGCCGAAGCAGGCCATCGACACCTGGATGTAGGCCATCAAGGCGAAGAGGAGCACGAGCTTGTAGTCCTAAAATTAAATAAATGTTATTAAAACATGAATAATTTGGTTTAGCGATTTTTTTGAAACGCAAAACCGATGTGCACGCAACCTGATTAAAAAATGGATAAAAATCTGGCAAAAACTCGCCAAGTTGTTTTTCAATTTCTGTTTCTGTTTCTAATTTTGCTAAAATATCTAGATTGAATCGAAAACTTTTATACTTTTGTTTAGCCGGAAAATTTTAATTTTTAAAGCTATCTAAAAAAACCCCGAAAAGTGGGTTCAAACATACCATTTCAAGGTTCCTACGGCAACTAGCAAATATCAGCTGGCTTGCCCCCTGAAACTCCTCTGCCCTTTTATAGGGACAAAGCCGGTTCTTTGGCCGCCCATTTACAATGCAAATTTGGGGATCGGTGGATCCGATCCCCTGAAGGACCGATTGTCACCAAACAGCTGGAGATCACCCTATACAAACATCGACCAGTCAAAGAAAAGAACTTGGAATGCCCTCATCCATTCCGGCCCTCCATTCCGCAGTCAAAACCATCACAAACACCCCGCCACAACAAGTTCTGCGCGTTGCAAGGCGGAGCCATCCGGAACTGCCCCCCCCACGTGGCTGTGCCAGCTGATTTGAATTTGTGGTCGGTAGGGAGAGCGAGTTTTTGGGAGGATCAGGGTTCGAAGGGTCTACTCGAATATATGTAGTGTAGAAAAAATAAAAAATTTGATGACCGGAATCCCAAGCACCGAGTATTCTTTGAATTTCGACTTTGGGAGCTCAAAAAAACTTAGGAACTTCGCGATTTTCAAACTTGGACCTAGCAAATTTAATTTAATTCGTTTGAAATATCGGGTACTCGCATGCAAATATTTGCACTGTTTCAATTTTTTATTGAAGCTTAACAGAATTTCATGCGAAAGTAAAGTTGAGAGACAGTTACTGTAAATGGCGCAATTCATCGTTCTTCCTAGCCTTTGCACACCTGGGCCGCCGGGGTAAATCGGCCGCGGGGGCGCAGGTTAAGGAATTTGGCATTTCGATTAGCGGGCGACCGATGAAAATTCTTATTTAAAAAGCTGCTCGCCGAATTTGCGCTCCTATAAAAGTGGCTTGGCGGCCTGGTTGAAATCGCTCCAAAATCCATATCACTGCATACGGTCATGTCACTACATACGGTGGTATTTTTCGCTATCCTTGCCGTAAGTTATCGCAAGCTTCATAGACTGTGGCTTTTTCGATGAGGGATTAACTTGGTTTTTTTCAGCTGACATCGGCAGTGTGCCCGTTGGTGGATAAGAATTTGGATGCTCTGTCCATGGGACGTGGGTGATAATCTTATTTTCCAACCCGACCCTTCAGCGTCGGTCGATGGGAAGTGTCCTAGCGGCTTGGTGTGTCTGAATGATGCGCGATACGGAGACTTCTGTTATCTGACCCAGTCTTTTGGACGTAGGTTTAAAGCCAATTCGACGATATGTAGATAGCTATGGTTAGAGGAAACACGACCTTATACATACCATTGACCTACACGTCAAATCCAAGCTTTAGCATGCGTCTCCGACGAATGCCCTGCCCCCTACACTTGCATCGTAGAGGTCGACCGGTGCTACGATCTGGTATGAGAAATCTAAACGGAATTACAGCAAGATTTTTTAGTCGGGTGGCAACGAGTGCCAGGACAAAGATCCGAAGTAAGCCCAGCTATGATTTAATGGGGGACAAGCATTACTTCCAAAAGTCACTACTTCTAAAATCGTTACGTCCAAAATCGTTACTTCGAAAAGTTGGTACGTCGGATTATAAGTTATTTCGGCAAGTTTGGCCATATTCATTCGCAAATCGGTGCTAAGACTTTTAGATGTAAGGACTTTTGGAAGTAATGATTTTAGAAGTAATGATGGGTAGCCAAATTTAATCCATGATGCTCCTCTTATAGCTGCGCACTGTACCTGCAGAATGGCTACTGCCGCTCAAAACTCTACACGACAGCTGAGAAAAGCGAATCGTGCTGTAAGACATGCGGATTTGACTCGGTCTGCCAGGATGCTGACCCCAAGTTTGTCTTGAGAAAAGATATCCCTCAACTCTATTTAGATTTGTTGTATTCCATATTTAGCTGCCCGCTCTACGAGAATAACAGCAAGTACTGCAACAGCACCACCGCCAGCGAGGCCCAGAAAATCAGCACGTGCAAGAAAACGTGCGGAGTCTGCTGATAATATGACCCCAAAAGTCTTGAATAAATATTTGCCCCAATTTTTGTCGTTTATTTACAGCAAATAAAAATAGGCGCCTAAGAAGCCCGAATTAATTTACTTCTCGCCCGACTCGACCTGGTTGACAACGTCTCTAAGCAAAACGTATTTTTGCATTTTGAGCAACGTTGAGCTCTTCGAAAATTGTTTCACATCATTTTTCACGCATAATCGATTTTGATCTATTTGCTTTTAGACTTCTTTTTTCTATCTTACGATTCCACTAATACATTAGGCACGAATTTGAATATTCCTTCAGTGTGGGGGTTTAGTATGCTTGTGTAGGGGCGCTGATTTGAATGCCCAACCTCGACCTAACCTTCAGCTTTATAATCTGTCTGGATCTGCGCAATAGATTTTCAAGCCTTTCGAAAGATCGGATCCGTATCTAAAAAAACGGCTATTTTTAAAGTTATAATGCTGCGATAAAAAGATTACAGTTTCGAACTACTGGTTTATCTAGATTTTATGTATTTTCTAAGCCCTAAATGACCTTTTGGAAACAGCGTCATGTGCCGTTAGAACTAGCTAGATCTAAAAATTAAATTTTAACTAACAGTTTCATAATTAAAATGCGCATAGGGCTAGCATTAATGCAATGATTAAATTTCTATTTAAATTATACATCATTATTTTCCTCGGATGACTAGAAAACCAAACAAGCTCTATTCAAATTCAAAGAATTGCTTCTATCGTTGAGAAGTTCTAATATTTACTGCTGCACCATACCTCTATTAATGTCTAAGTAAAATCATTATGGTATCTTTATTTCTAGCACTTGCCCGTCTGTGAATCGTGCCCCGGGGTAACGTGGGAGCTGCTGCCCGAATGATGCCCTTATATTGATCGCTCAAATATCGCACCGCCGGCGCCCAATCGCTTTTCTCCGAGAGCCATCTCGCACTTTGGCAGCACTCACGACAAAAAGCCCGGAAACGGAACACGGCTTCTTCGCAGCGCCCGGCAGTCTCGATTTTGACCCCTGCCGAACAGACGGCTGTCCCGGAAATTGAGGGAATTTCCGCGGCCCGATGGACGCCACCACCAGTCAGGTATGAATTTCAGTTTTTTTGGATTTTCGAAGGTATCTTTTGATTTTTGTAAAGATATCTTGGCAGATATAGATATTTTTAAAGTTTCAAAGGCGTTTCTCACATTTCAGAACTTTTTTCCAACCACCAGAAAGTTCTAAAATGCCATATTTTAGAAATTTGTGGCGATTAAATCAAGCATTGTTGCCGTTCAACGTACATAAAAAAAAAAAAAAACCCGTCCCACCCCCCAACTTCCCCCACACCCCTTTCTGCGGATACGTAATAGGGCTGTCTGTTGGTCTAGCAGTAAAACTAAATTTTCTACTTTCAGGACCCGCAATCCCGAAAGGAAAATGCACCCGTCTGCAAGCAAATCGGCAGTGGAGCATATGGAGCCGTTTGGTCAGTCGTTCTTATTAGAAATCTTTTCTTATATCGCCTAATATATTAATATTGTCACATCAAAAACAACCTCAATTTTCAGGTCCGTCATCGACCCGCGCACAAACCGAAAAATGGCGCTGAAAACGATGCCGCATGTCTTCCTGAATTTGCTGACGTGTAAAAGAGCGTACCGTGAAGTTCGAATGCTGGCCAGTTTCTGTAATGATAATGCAAGTTTTTACTTGGTTTTTAGAACAAAAAAATTGCTTAGATCCTCGCCCTCAGCGACATTCTTCACCCGAGGAATCCGCAAATGTTTCAGGACATGTGAGTTTGTTTCTTTTCATCTGATCGCCCATTATTTTCATGATAATTAACTTTTTTTAGTTGGGTGCTGACCGAAATGATGGAAACGGATTTGCACAAGATAATCAGCTCGAGGCAGGCTCTATCCCTGGAACACACGAAGCTTTTTCTCTATCAAACTTTGAGGGGTTAGTAAAGCTATTGTATTTTCACCCTTTTGAAGGAAACTTTTAATACCTTTCAACATCTCTTTCCAGGTCTAAAATACCTGCACTCGGCCAACATCCTTCACCGCGACATCAAACCTAGCAATCTGCTCGTCAATGGCAATTGCCTGCTGAAAATTTGCGATTTTGGGCTGGCTCGAGTGTGGAATTCGGCGACACATCAGAACATGAGCCATGAGGTGCCTTATAAAGATAGAAATGTGTTGTTAAAACGAATTTCCAGGTCGTCACGATGTACTACCGAGCCCCGGAGCTTTTGATGGGCGCCAGAAGTTACACGGGCGCCGTGGATATTTGGTCTGTCGGCTGTATCTTCGGGGAATTAGCTTTTCGCAAGATTTTCTTCCAAGCGGACACGCCGTATCAGCAGGTGAGCTAAAAATTTGCGGAATTGGACGTCAAATTCCTATATCTGATATTGTCGTTCCAGCTTCACAAAATCATCGAATTCCTCGGAAGCCCCGGCGCCGATGCTCTAAAATACGCGAACGAGGCTACAAGAAACTATTTGACGCGCCAGGCACCAAAGTAGGGACCGAATTTTCGAGAAAAAAATTTCATGTTTAGGCCCTCCCAAATCGAAGGATTTCGAGTGCACGCCGAGCCGATTATCACCGACGTCGGGCTTGATTTGTTGCTGCGGTTATTGATGTTTAACCCGGTGAGTTAAAGTTATATTTTAGGGACAGAGAAGGTGGTTTTCGAGCGGTTTTGTCAATGAACGATAGACAATAAGTCGACCAAAACATTAAAACACTCAATTTTCAGGACCATCGGCTGTCCGTCGAACAGGCCCTCCATCACCCGTTTCTCATCGACGGCCGAACGAATTTTCACACGAACCTCTGCAGCTGCTGCACGACGGCCGACGGAGTTCGATATTTCACGGCACCCAACAACCTCGACCCGGTGCACAAGGAACCGTTTGACCCGAGTTGGGAAACGGAAATGGACCGCTACTCGATGTTCGACTTTAGGAATCAGCTTTATCAGGTTCGTTTTAGTTTATTAAGCCTATAAAGCTTTATAAAGTTTACCTCTCTAGAATCTATCTTTACAATCCATATAATTATCTTTTCTTTTTAGTTCATCATCACGCGACCCCACATCGGCTCCGCGGCTTTGCCCGACGATTTCCAGTGGCAAAAGTAAGAAAATAAAACGTTATGGATTTATCACATTAGTTTCTAAAGTAAAAAATTATTAAGCCTTTTTAGCATGGCCGTCCATCAACCAAGCCAGATGCACATCCAATAACAGCCTGATTGCCGATAAATTCAAATCATTATATGTACCATTTTGCGAGTCCCGCTTCTAGGAATATATCCGATTCGCCATTCCCCACCTTGCATTCTCTACTTCCGATTGGTCTCCCCTCACTTTCAATTTCAGGGTTTTCGTCTCGATTGGGATCGGGTTTATCTTTCTATATTTGTCTATCACTTGACATATTTCCTGTGTATGCAGAAGATAAATGCGTATCCATACCACCGCGGCAAAAAGTAACACGTTTACTAGTGCACGGCATCACTTTCATTTCGTCTCACTTTACAGTACCCATAATAGCATTGACCAACAAGATTCCAAACGCAACAACAAAATGTGGAGGCGGGTGGGGGTTTTTGGCTGGTTGGAGGGGAGGAGGAGTTGATTATTAGGGTTTCGGGTGAGAACTAAGGAGCAGCTGAAGACCGATGGGCGCGTAAATCTATATAAATAAGGGGGTGGGGAGGAGGGGCTGGGCGCCTAATTTTCAGACCCTTAGATGGATTTTTACTTCTTTTCTTCCGAACGTCTACAGACTCGCTGAGAATTAGACGCCCATAAAAACAATTCCGGGGAATAAACGTGCAGAAATGGGGTTCAACAGTGCAGGGGAAGCTGGTCCTTGAGAAGGGCAAATGTGCATATCCAGCAACCGATATAGCCGTCTATTAACACAGATAGAATCGAGGGTGGGCAACCGAGGCACCGGTTAGTATTTGGGATCGAAGGGATGGCAAAGGAAACGAACAATTAGACCAAATAGACCGCAATTGAGCGTGGAGAACCAGTTGGGGGCAATTAAAAGACAGATGAGGCTACAGTAGGGCACACCGAATCTGGATTGACTAGAATCACAGTGCGCAAATGGGAACGGGGCTGATACGCGAATGTACGAGCTTAATTGGGAAGCAGGCCAGCGGAGGGGCGAGTCGACGTCAGGGTCTCGAGTGGAAGCCACCGCGATGTGGGCGTGAATGTTCCGGGCCGCGTGAGAAGCCACGTGATGGGCCTGAAAAAAGTTTTAGAAATACAATAAACATGGAATTTAGTCGAAAACTGCCTAGTATAGCTTTTGATGTTCTAGGAACTCCGAATAGTAATAAAAACAATTTTCCAATAGCCTAAAAGTTTACCGTTTTTGACCAATTTTCGGCCAGGCGACCAGCGAAAAATAAAAAATTTCCTTACTCCCCCGCAAGCTCATTTCAAACCAGTCTTTAAAGTGCAACATTTAGAAAGTAAAAATTTACCAGGTGGTCGACGCGGTACACCTTCCAGCTTGGCCTGCTCGATCAGCTCGGGGTCGTGCGAGAAGCGGCAGTTGTCGCCAAAGTTGCAACCACGGGGTGTGAGCACGTAGGTGCAGACGATCGGCGCCCCGCGCCCGCGACCCCGTTCTCGCCCGCCAAAGCCACTGCCTCTGCCACCCCAACCGCCCTCGTGGTGCTGAAAAGCAAAAAATAGCTTTTTTTTTTACGATTTTTAGTAATTGAAACTCACTAAAATGACCGCACAAAAGATTTAGGCATATCGGTCGGGATTAAAAAGCCATTTTGAAAAATGCCTAGAAGCTCACCGAATGTTGTTGGTTATAGCCCGGCTCGTTTCTGTAGTAGCCCGGTTCGTGACGACCAGCATCGGGCTGTGGATGATGGGGCTCCTATAAATCAAATTCCTCCAAAAAAGCGGTCACTCTTACCCAACGCGAGGTTGAAGCGACTGCATTATGCTGCTGCTCACGGCCGGCGTTCTGCTCGATGATGCCGGCTGTTTTCAAGCTTGACAAGAGGTTCTAAACAGAATTAAAACTATACTCGCCAAAAACTCGACTGGTTTTTCAACGAAACATTTAGGTTAAACAAGCACCTGTAGATTGGAGGGAAGGGCGGTCGGAGGCGCTTGAGGTTGAGATGGCGTATCGGTAGGTATCATCGGCACTTCTTCGACAGATTGCTCGTCCACCGGCTCGAGCGGAATCGGGAGCGGAGAGTAATCGGGATCCATCTGCTCGTCCGGCTCCTCAGAGTCAATTCGACCGGGTCTAAACGATAAACTTAATTTAGAACACTTTTTAAATCCCTTACGTTCTTCCATCGTACATCACGGCCAGCGTGCGACTCTGGCGGTCCTGTTCCGCGTAGAACTCCGTGGAGGTAATTTGACGTGACTGCTCCTTGGTGACCTCTTCGGGCTCCTTTTCGACCACTAGCAAGCGCCACTAAAAGAATAGTTCTAAAAACCTTTCAAAAGCACCTTGGGCGGCTCCTCAACCGTTTTTTGACTGAGAGCTTGCAGGATGAAGTTGCCACCGCCTTTCAGCGCTTCGAAGCGTTTCTCCTAAAAAATTAAATCAAGGATGTAAGTGTAACGAACCTCCACTTTTTCCTTTTCTTTCTCTTTCTCTTTCTCTTTTTCCTTTTCCTTCTCTTTCTCCTCATCTTCTTCGATCGGGGCGGAGGTGGTTTCGCGGTACATCTTCTCCAGCTCAAGATCCCGGCGCATGATTTCTTCAGGCGTCAGGTGCGATACGTTGACTAAAAAAATAGATATACTTCCAAGAGAAAAAAACTCACATCGCTCATTCTCGTCAATCTCGAACTCGCGAATTTCGACGAGAGGCTTGCCAGAATCATCGGCAAAATGGATGCGCCTTTTTGCGACGGCCTAAACAAAACATAAAACACAAAGCAGCAAACTCTTGCCGGTGGTGGTGGTGCTGGCTCGTCTTCGGCCACAGGCTCAGGCGTCCTATTATTCGCGCGTGTGCCCGATTTTTCGGATGCAGATCCGGAAGGCGGATTCACTTCCGAGAAAAGACCACCCTAAAACAAGATTCTAAACTGAAAAATGAACCTTACCAAATTAATCTCCACCTTTGATGGGCTTGTTTGCTTTTCGCGCGGCGGAGCAGCAGCGGTCTCCTCGGCGGAGCTTCTTCGTTGACTGTCAGTGGACTCCGTGGGCTTGACGATGCGCTTCGGCTAAAATTAACGTCAGAAGTCAACGTACCAAAACTCACCCTCTTTTTCACCTGTTCCATCTTCGGCGCGCTGAGCGCGTCCATAAACGCGTTCGACATGATGATCGGCCTTGGCTTCTCGACGGGCTTCGGAGGTGGAGCTGGCTTTGGCTTCGGCGCCTCAACCTTCGTTTCCACAAGCTTCTTCGGCTTCTCAGGCTCCTTCTTCTTCAGCTTTCTCTCGTCATGAAGCTGCAACCGCGGAGTTGGGGCAGGCTCTTCCTTCTCCCGCTTGGGTTCGGGTGGTCCATCCTCATCCGAGCTGCCTTCAAGACCTGGAAAAACAAATCAAGCGCACTCGGTAAAATTTACCTGTAGTTCGACCCTTGCTCCTGTAAACGCGCGCTTTTGCTCGGTTAGTCTCTTTCTTCTTTTTCTTTTCCTCTCCTTCTGCTGGTGGCGGCTTTGTGACTGCATTTTTCAGCAGTAAGTCGTCGATTGGCTGTAAAAAAAGATTATATTGATCAAGGAAAAAAAATCAAATACCTCTCCGAGTTCCGGTGATCCCTCTTCAGGCATCTCCTCGTCAACCACCGGCTCCTCATGCTTCTCCTCTTTCTTCCGAGGGCCCTCCTTCTGATACCGTTGCACCTCTTCCTTATATTTCGCGACAAGCTCGCCGGCGAGGTCACGAATCGCTTGCGTTCCGCCCTTCTTTTTCAGAGAAACGAGGAATTTGGGCGTATCGATTGAGGTGTCGATCAAGAGCTCGTCGGGAACATCAGCCTTCATCAGTTGCTTTAGAAGCGGCAGCATCTTCTTATCGTCATCTTTCGCGTTCTTCAGCCACGTGTTCATCATTCGCCAGCCGGCCTCGGTTGATAGGCGCTTGATTGCAGAGTCACGGGCGGCCTTCATAGTTCTGAAAAAAAAGTTTATGGTTACGACAAATATGCTAGATTCGTCGCCGTAAATAAAAAGTGCCTAGGCATTTCAAAATCCGTACTTTTTTAGGCGCGCAGCTTCTCGATCGGCTTCACGAGCGGGCGGTGGCCTGAAGGGTGCCGTCGACGTTGAAGGCGTGCTTCCATCCTAAAAAAAATTTGTTTGTATTTAAAACCTTCAAACCTTTGTCTTAGTGCCATTTGCCTTTGGTGGACTCGGTTTTTGTTTCTTGAAGTCAATCTAAAACGTTTTTGCAAAAAAACGACAAAAAAATACCTTCTCGACAGAGTTGCTAGACGAGCTCGAGGCCGTTGCTTGATTGGAGTCTAAAAATGGGGTGTTTTCTTGAGGCGAGCGTTACGCAAAATGGAAAGCAAAACCTGAGTAATTAATTGTTTGAAAATCCGAAAAAAAACACTATTTATCACTTACTATTGTCTTTCAACACCGGAATGCCAGCACGCGGACGTGGTGGCGGGAGCCTGTAGGGGGGCGTAGTGGGCGCAGGAGCGGTTTCCGCCATCGGTGCACCCTCGACGGGCTAAAATAGCGGTTTTCAATTTCGAAACCGAAGATTTTCAGGAAAATCGGAATGCCCGAACCGTTCTAACTGCCAATGTAACCAGGTGCGATTCGGACCCTTACGGTAGTTTTGAGCTGGAGCGCAAATTAGAAACGACAGACTTCGGGGTGAGTAGAAAATGTGTTTTTAGTTTTGTTTTTGTAATAAAAAATGCCGAATTTTCTTGTAAAGATATAAAAGCTACATACCTTTAGAGCGGGATTGTAAGCGCTCATCGGGGGCTCGGCCGGCGTGCCATCGGGGTTTATGTAGCGAATGTTTTGTGAGCTGAAGCTGATGGGACGTGGTGCGGGTGGTCTAAAATCATCAAATACTCACGTTTTCATATAGAAGACGGAATAACATACATTTACTCGGCGCAGAGAGTTTTCCATAGATCTTAGACTGTTAACCTACCCATTGGCGACATATTGGACTTGATGCGTAGCCACTGGATAGAGCGTGGTCTGACCGTGACCATGGGGAAGCCGCTGTTGATATAACTAAACCAACATTAATTATATATTTTTATTTCTAACAAACCTGCTGTTGTTGGCTCATGCTAGCTGGCAGCATTTGGGGTTGAGCGCTGACTTGGCGGACTATTCTCGGGCCGGGCTGCTAAAGTTTTGTTGATTTCATGAACTTGATACCCTTAAAAAACGCGTTTTTCAGTTTAACTTACATAGTGTGGATCCGGATATAGCTGGGGTTGAGGGTAGGCTTGTTGCTGCTAAAAACCTAGTTTTAGATTTGAATGATGTACTGACCGGCGCGTAGAGTACTCGTTGGACCAGTTGGCGTTGTGGTGGTTGTCGAACGACTCGAATGAGACGTCCGTCTTCCATTTGAATGTATTCTACAGGGGTGGCGACTTGTTGAGGTTGTTGTGGTGGTTGTATAGTGGTTGGAGAATCTGGTAGCCTTCGGTATTGAATCTGAAATTTCGGTATTATTGATTTTTTTCGAAAGATCTGCTGTGGCTTTTGCACGTTATTGAAGCATTATTATAAGGTATAACTTACCATCGGCGCTTGACCCTGTTGCTGCGGCATAAATTGCGGCTGTTGGTGTTGAAAAGCCTGCGGCTGCTGTTGATGCATCTGTTGATTGAAGGCATCCTGGTAAATCCCTTGATCTCCCAGTGACGTCGACGGGATTTCCTGTTGCCCGTATGTGATTTGTCCATTTTGGTTGCCATGTGTGCCCTGATTTTCGAAGGGATCCGGCTCTCCGGGGAAGAGCGGATTGCCCGTTTGGAACATCGGGTCAGCGTTGCCAAGCATCGGATTTGAATAGTCCGTGTTGCCGAAAAAGGGCTGTTGATCGGGGAGCGACATGGCCGAGTTGAATTGATTGTTGTGGGTTTGCTCCATTTGGAGGGGTTGATTGAGCATAGGTTCCGGATTTGCCGAGTAGGTGGGCTGAGCTTCGGCGGAAGTATGCGGGAGCATATGTTGCGGCATCACTAAAAGATCAGGTTTCCCAGGTGATTATTAATATTTTGGGGGTTTTGCGCATCAATAATCATCATCTATTTTTTTCGAAACTATTAATCATGCACTTTAGCTTCATAATTGATCTCGACCTACCAAAAGCCCCTTGATCCGGAATATAAGGCTGCGAGGCGGATGGTAGTGAAGTTGCCATAATCTCAAAATCAATTATTATATTATTATCATAAAATTAATAAAGATTTCGGTATCTATTTTTGTACTTCTACGAACCTGTTCAGGTGGTGGTTCAATCGGGTGGTGAACGGTGGGCATGAAATTCGCCGTATCCAGCATCTGATTATTCTGGGTTACGGTAATCGGCATGTGATGCATTTTTTCGTGATGCATGTTGTCTCGAAGCTAAAAAATATAAAGTTGTACATTAATGATAAATTCTATTGATCGAGTTGCTGAAATAAAATTAATTTGGGTTTTTACAGTAACCCGGTGAGAACTTTTAGCTGTGTAATCGAATATCGATTGGCTTGTTATTGACTACATAAAAATTAATGTATATTTTAATACATTTATCCACCTGAGATAATGGCACATCATCCTCATCATTATCTGGGGCCTCTTCTTGCAAGAACATATCTGCCATCCCTTTGTACCCGTCGGCTACGCCGCACAACAAACGACACCTGCCACGACGGGGCTATCTGAAACTTCAACGGGGAATTTCGGAATGAAAAAGGGCGCATTAATGGAGGATAAAATGGTTTCTATGAACCGGAAGCCATCGGTTGCCCCAATTCTTTCATTTACAACCGCCCGGGATCCAAACCTTCGCGAATAGATTTTAATAAATCAAAGATTTTTGGAAAATACGATAAAATACGAAAATATGCAACGAATATGGTTGAATTCGATAAACAATAATTGCAAATTGGAATATTCAGAAAATCGGTTTCAGAAGTCCATAAATAGCAGAATATTGATCGCTGCAAAAATGAAAAATAGCTGTGCTGCGTAAAAAAACTTCTGAAATAAAGAAATACTTGCCATGTTAATGTAGCGGCAGCTCGATTGTTTTAAAAATTTAAGATATTTTTTTCAAATAAATTAGATTCTCTTAAAATTTACACGTTATCAAACGACAGGTTTTCCTCATTTATTTTTTTTTTTGAATAATTAAGTCTCGTCATCTCATTCTCCGGGGTGGCTTCGAGAAATACTCTATAAGTCTTCGAAAAGTTTAATTTTTAATCAAAAATATATATTTTTGAAAAACCTTTAAGATCTATAAAAATGAACGTTTTTGTTTAATTCGAAAGAGCTCCTCAGATTTTCGGCTATTTTCGAACGCTTATCCCGATTTGCCCTAGATCTAGCTGACTGGCCGATTATCGATTGATGCGTGTTCCGGAATTTCCCGTAACCTTTAATGCCACGGATGAATAGTTTCGAATCTGCGCACCCTGTTTCGAAAATATAAGCTCCAAAAAACACAGCACAATGGGTTCCAGGTAGAGGAGCCAAAAACTTAACCTCATTTCGGAATCGGCGCTTCACCAGAATTCCAGCCGAAAGGCCAAGCCCTTTGGGTCGTTTCCACGGTCTGTTAACCGAGGGGCCCCGGGCCCAAAAATTCGACCACCCTGGCCCCTGGATACACATGGGTGTGATTGACTGTATGGGATGTGGTGCTACAGTTCCTTGCGAGACAATCCGCCCGCGAATGCTCGTGTGGGTTGGCTGGACGGGCGGGGAGGCACATACACACCGCTTTCGAGGAATCGACTTCCCAAATTCTCGGTGTCTCCTCGTTCCCTGGCTGTCTCGCGCTCTTGGCCCTTGTTACTGTAGTTTCTCTGGGGGTCTCTCGCGTGGGTCACACTCTCTCTCTTCTCGCGCAGTGCTCTCTGGCTGCAAAACTAGGCCCTCCAAATAGTTGGGGGTAAAATGGATGTGGTGCTATCTCTCTGCCCCTATCTCTCTCTCACTCTCTCTCTCTCACTCTCCCTATCTCTCTCTCCCTAATTCTCCCTCTCTCTCTCGCTTCTCCAGCAACCTCCACTCTTTTCCAAAACATCAGTAGGGAGTCGCCTTCCTATAACAACCCTACTCTATCTATCAATCTCTCTCTCTCTCTCTCTATCTATCCTCTCTATCTGCTGCCTGATAACCGGAACCGCCATCCTTGAATAGAGAGCGCGGAGATTGGCGACGAGCGAGAGAATGCTGTTTATCGCCGAGACTTTGGCGGGAAGCCAAAAACGGAAAATTTGTCGCGGCTCGCCTGTTTTAAGAGTGCAAAATTAAGAAAACACTTTTGAAATCGAAAGAGCTTTCGTAAAA